AAGTTTTGAAAATTTTTAGGTTTATTGAAGGGAGCCCACATAACCTCACTCGTAACTTCAGGTTTATTAAAAAATACAGGGTGTTCGGTTAAGGCTGTCCTTATTATTTATTAGAACCCTTATCAAAAAGGAAAAAAATACCACGCATTGGGGGGCCTCAAATTAATATCGAACACTTTCAAAATCTAACAAATGACATTACACAGAAGAGAGAATAACCGAATCACATTATGCATCACAACAAGATAGATTTGATTTTAGGAGGAAACAGAGAATAATTGTAAGGTGATTATTAGAAACACCTTCAAGTATCAACCTCCATTTAAACTTGATGTTTATCACATCTGCTTCCCGTACTTTGATTAGTCAGAATTCTATATATATATATGTTTTTATGTTAAAATCTGCATACTTCATAAAAATTCACATTAAGAGCGGTCTTTACTGAACACCCTGCATATATGTTATATACGCGTATATGCTTTGATTTAATGGTCAAATAGACTAATTAATAAGGCAGTTAGCCATAAATCTAAAGTTTCAGTGAAAGATTATTTTAAATAGACCATCAAATTCAGTGTGATTGAGTAAATCTTCGTACATTTCATAATCAGTCGAAGCGTGTATAGGCTGATTGCAATAAGTTTATAATATTAGACAAATTATAAAGTACAGAAGAATTTCCAATCAGCCTTTTGCATGTAGACTGCATATACTTCTGGGTTAATCTTTCCGGTGTATTTCGAAGATAGTTGGCCCCTAACGTGATCATTGTGTTTTGAGACTCTCTTGATTTGTATTTCTTGTATACGTGTATTTGTTACCTGCTTTATTATTTGTGTTTAGGAAGAGAGCCGTTATTTGAAGACTGTCTTTTCAAGACGTAAGAATCGTCAAAAAAAGTAGAAAGAATCGTAATGAAGCACTTCTTATCTTGTTAACAATATACCAACTTCGAAATTTAAACCTAAAGGATAATTTGTTAAATGAACTTAATCTCGCTGCTCGAACAATATGTTAACACTAACGTATGATGGTGCAGGGCTTGCAACAAGAACAGCAATAAACAAGTTAAAAGAGACTAAATTAGTAGTGCCAATAAAGCGAGTTCTTTCTAAATCTAGCAGCCATGTCAACTTTTTTAACAACACATCTATAAATAAATAAAATAATTTTTTAATTCAAACTCATCAGAATAACTTAATATCATTTATATCTTATGAAATTCAGTAGATCCGTGCTCAGAAATTAGATAATTATTTCTTTTATTAAAAAAAAATTATCTGTTTGATAATATCACTTTGCAGAATAAGCTGTAGTAAGCATCTGTATACTTTCTAATCGGAAGTACAGCAGGTCAAGAGCTCGAGATTGTTGTTTACATTGATGTTGAAAACACATCCCATAGTTTCTGATGTATTTTTTTAGGCTAAATCAAAGTGACAAAAATTCTAAATAGGATTTACGTTTTAAGGACATTACGTTTTAAAGTAATGTTTTTTTCTTACATTAATGAACGTTTATTTTCATTATTAAATTTGTTGGAAAATTAAATATCATTTTTCATAAAATTTTTTGACTGAGCTCAGTATTTGCCTGTTAAAAAATTTAATTTGCGTGATGGAAAAAATAGTAATGGATTTAAATTTAGTGTTCGTAATCAAGTAT